AAGGTAAGGAAGGAAAAATCAATTTTTTTAACATCAGATGAATGAATAGTGAAAATAATTAGTAATTAGTAATAAATAGTATATAAATTAATAAAATAAATAAATAAAAATAAAAAAAAAAAATTTAACTAAATCAAAGAAACGTCTCATATTTTTCATCTCATGCTTCCCAAAAAATTGTGTTTAGTAAGTAGTAAAAATTGATTTTTTTATCAGATCAATACTCACTCGATCTGTTTGATCGTTCGTTCGTTCGTTCGTTCGTTCGTTCGCTCATGTATAATGAGCACTCTTCTACAACGTCTTATTTCCCGTACCACTGTTTATTTACAAATATAGGCAAACAACAAATTTAATTTATTACAAAAAAAAAAAAAGTGTTACGGGATTTGAGTAATCTTTTATAAGTGTTAATAATTAATAATAATAATAATAAGCCTTAAAGCATTCGAAATAATTCGGAAAATATGATCATGTTGATAACCGGAAATTTTCTTGATGTTGGATCAGGATTATTCATTTGTTGTTAATTTTACGAAACTATTTATATAATAGTAATGTGTCGCAAGATATTTGATACAAAATTCCGACTGGTAATTTAAAACTTCAAACATGAAAACAAACATTGTAATATTTTTTTAAAATTCATCAAGTGATTCGAAGACTTTAAATGAGAAGCCTGATTTGTACGACCTACCAATTATTTTCTCTGTTTGTGGTTTGTAAAAGGAAGGCTGTGCAAAGAGAAGAACAATAAAACTGCCTCATTACGGGAAAAAATATTTATAATCCTTTTACTGGCGCGTATACCAACTTAATGATCTCGTAGGCATACACGGTTTCAAATGGCAGACATTAAACGATGGCCAGAGCGACAAAGCCATAAGCGATATTCTCAGTAGCGGGTGAGCTCTTTGTCGGAACAGGTCTTGCGCAGATTATTTGTGGCGATTTTATCCGAAATCTGTGAAAAATAAATTTCCAAGTGTAGTTCAGAGAAGAAAGATGATTTATTAAAATTCGAGTAGTAAATAATTGGTAAAAAACAAAACAAAACTCAAAACTCAAAAAAATACCATCATCACCATTGTCGTGACCACTAACACCAAATGATCAGGAAACAATATTATTATCGCTGTTATTATTATTTTTGTCACCACCATCACTATTATGATTATTATATAGTAATAAACCATACTATTCATAAAAATATTAATATAATATCAAATCATTAGTATTGTTCAACACTGTCATGCCACCATTCGAATACTCGTGATTGTTATTGATATTCGTTATATTCATATTATTTTTAATTATATAATAAGGAAAAAAATGACAATGAATTTAAATTACAATTATTCAAATAATCAAAATATTTATGAATATAATTATAATAATAAATGCTCGGAATAATTATGTAATGAATTTAAATATATTAATAAACTGATATTCGAATATTCGTAAATAAATTGGCATTCGGTTAGGAACACTATTAATATTAATATACTATTAGAACAATTCCAATATAAGAAGCTTTCGTTAACTTTGATCCAAAACATTAAGGTAAAGCTATATTTACAAAAAGTTGTCTTTGAGAAAAATTGCAGTGTGCCTAAATTTGTATGGATCGTTATATATACAATCTATTTTTGACCATTTATTAATAGTTTTTGTGTGTACTGTTACACCCCTTTACTCCATTTGTGGTTCCCAATTTAAAAATGTTCCAGATATAAATTGCATTGCATAATAATAATAAAGATCGACAGAATATACATTCCAATATTAACATTAATAGGAGGAAAATAAGTCGTCAAAATTTTATTGTTATTGTTATTATTTGAGACAATGAACGGGAATGATGATAATAATAATAATTATCACACAAAAAATATCCGCAACTCCAATTTTATTGATCAAATTGGTGATTGCGGATTTTTTTTACTGCATAGTAGTAATGGGATGCAATGATAAGAATCGTGACATTTAGAAAAATTTTTGGTATTAATAATTTTCAGTCATAATAATATTTCTTTATTAAAATTTTTTAATAATGATTCTATTGATGAAGAAGATGCGGCAAAGATGGAAAATTTGTATGTATAATTACATTAATTGATTTGGTTTGGTTTGGTTTGGTTTGGTTTTAAACGCTTCAATTGATGAAGAAATAATGAGGATGAAGATGGTAAATTAAGATATGTAACACAATCTGATAAATTATTGTCATTCTCTGGAAGTTTTTGTGGCTATGGCATTCATGACATTATATTTGAAGAAGACGATAAAAGTAATGTAACAATCTCGAAACTTCCAAATTGCCATCTGTTAAATGCTATGAAAAATTTTCAATATATCAGAGTGTTCAGTATAAATGATAAGATGATCAATTATTATGGTATATCCAAAGATTATGCCGGACCAATTATTGATCCAGACCGCACAGAAGAATGTTGCCATTTTAAAGCAGCAATTTCGGCAACTTGATCGATTTATTTTCTTTATATAATTCATAAAACCTTTAGATATTCAATGTTGAGGGTAAAATTTAATTAAAACAGATAATTAAAGTTTATTATATAGTGAAACATTAAATGTGCTCATTAGAAGGTAGAAGGGGTAATTTGAATCGATGTGGATACGGGTATATTAATATTTATAAATATGATATAAGTTCTTGTTCCGACGTATTACTAGCAGAAATATTTTTTTTAATTCAAATATATTCTTATTATTAAACGATAAACTGATTGTATCACATGATTATAATACAATGTTGCAAAAAAAATAAGTTTGTTTATTTCTGCCAGTGATTACCTGATAATGACAATAAATTGAATTTTCCTTTTTACAGGATAAAATTTGATCATCAAAAAAAAAAAAAAAAAAAAAAAATAATAATAATAAAGGAAAAATTCCGAATCTGTTTTTTTTCCTCAAAAATATAAAAAAGTAGCAACTTTGATAATTTTTTTTTCAAAAATCTCTTTGTTTTTTACAATAATTAAATAGTTGTTAATTTTTTTTTGCAATATCTGTTAATTAATTTATTTGTAAGAATTTTAATTATATTAAATATGAAAGATAATAAAATTAGCCCCGACAATATTCTCAATTCATTAGATTCGCTTACTTCAATTGAAACTATTAATAAAAAAGAAAAACATATTAATAAAAACAAGATAGTCAATATATTTAAATCATTTATTAAAAATTTAAATTTATTAGGTAAAAAGACAGACAATGATAAACCAAAAGAAGAATACGGTGGTAGTGACAGGAGTGATTCAAAGGTATCAGAAAACGTTGATTGCAGTGATAAAAACAAGATAGTCAAAGTCATTACATTGGATTCATTAACTAACTTATCAGAAAAAAAGACAGATGATGATAAATCAAAAGAAGGACACGGTGATAGTGACAGAAGCAATTCGAATATACCAGCAAATGTTGACAATTTCTTTAAAAAAAAAATTTATGTTGATAAAGAAAGAGATAAAAATAGTATTGTCTATATTGATGCTAAAAAGAATTCATTTACTGATTTAAATGAGTTTTTTAATAAAACAACTGACAATGATAAACAACAAGCAGACAATTTTAATATCAGAAAATGCCGATGATATTTATAAAAATAATACGGTCCGTTTGTTTATCGGTTTATTTAAAGCTTTTAATGAAAAAATATACAATGATAAACAACGTCCTAAATCAATATCAATAAGACAAAAATTGCTGGAAACAAATAATTCAAAAAATCACACCAAACCGAAGGTATTTGTGCGGACCAAAGTTACTACAAAGCCATGGAATAAATTTAAAGTTAGATTTGATTTTTTGAAAAATTGGAATTTTATTTTAAAAATTCTATAATAAGAACAAAGCTGGCTTTGCCTCAAAACGGGGGCATGTCACCCCAAAAAGTATGTACTTCTTAATTTAAAGCAGCTTTTCTTTTTATTGCGAATATTTTATTGATTGTTATATAAAAAATTATTCGCGTTGTCAATCTAAAAAATGTTAAAGATTACCATACTATGGTAATGTAAACGAACATAAAGAATGTGGTTATTTAAAAATAATTAATAGTTAAATATGAAAAATATGATCTTCGTCATATAAATTTCTCGCCTAAGGCCGAGATGCACGTTAGGTCCCTTAGTAGATGGATAAATCAGTCAAATTTGGTCGATTCGAATTCTCCGATAGTGGTGTGAGAGAAGATAAAGGATGGATAGTTAATAGCCCCCCGGTAATTCCAATGGAAGTGGTAAAGTCCTTAAGTGGGTAAAATTGGGGAAATTTTATACTCAAGTCATATGAAAATCATGAGTAAGGGTTCACATATGTGGTGCGACTATTTGTGGTATCAATTTATTATAAATCATATGAAAAAGTTTTTAAAAGTCATAATAATATTAATTTTTAAAGAAAAGATTAACTTCTTGACCAGTGCAAGAACAATCAATCAACCGTTTAATTATATTTTTATATTAATATTTCGAGTCTTGCTTATAATAATAATACGAATTATTATTCAAATCATTTGTTTTTTTTCGTTTTATAAATTATTCATTTTATTCGAATTATTTGCTGTTTTATTCGGTTTACTCAAATTACTCATTTATTATTCGCTTTATTATTCGCTTTATTCATTTTATCAAATTATCTATTATGAAGATGCTGACTGATTTGGTATGTAGTATTAGTATCGAATTTTCGTGTGTAACCGAATATTCATTGGGATACTCGAATATAGTCAAATGATTATCATCACTAGTTATTGTTTCAATGGAACGAATTTATAGACATTCGTTTGATAAATATTATAATAATTATTGTTTTACAAATAAACTTATTCCTTAACATGGACCGATCTTCGACCAAAATGGGATTATCTATTTTTTCTTACAAGTTTGTAATGCATACTTTTTTCTCTTTAAATTATTTTTATTATTAAACAGTTTTTGTAATTAATTTATTTTAATTATATATTGAATATGAATAATAATAAAAGTGCCATCTATCCCGGAACCCCTTCTTCACTTTCTCATAAAACATCAGTTTCATTTACTTTATCTGAAAAAAAAATAGACAAAAATAATATTGCCTATTTATTGGATTCGTTTAATTCAATTGAAACTTTTAATAAAAAAGAAAAACATGATAGTAATGGCAGTAACAATTTGACATCAGGAAATGCTGATGGTAGTGATAAAAACAACATAGTCAATTTATTGAATTCATTTACTGATTTATTAGATAAAAAGACAGACAATGACAAATCAAAAAAAAAACACAGTGGTAGTGGCAGCAAAAATTCGAATGCATCAGAAAATGTTGATGGTAGTGATAAAAATAACATGGTCAATTTATTGGATTCAATTGCTGATTGTTTTGATAAAAAAACAGCTAAATCAAAAAAAGAACATGGTAGTGACAGAAGCAATTGTTATAAAAATAATATCTTCTATCTTGATGAAAAAATAGACAATGATAAACAACGTCCTAAATCGATATTAAAAAAATTAAATCAAATAAAACAAAAATTATTAAAAGCAATCAATTCAAAAAATCACATAACCAAGTCAAACTGAAGGCATCTGTGTGTGACTTTATTCATATTAGTGTTTTTTTTTTGTATATAATAAATAAATTTAATTTAGATTTTATTTTTTAGAAATTATTAAATATGTATTTTTTTTCGTTTAGTATTTTTATCTTTTGCTTTAATTGTTATTTTCTATTCTGCTATAGTGTGCGCAATCTAAAGACTTCAAATGCTGCAAATCTTCAAACCCCAAAATAGCAATGTTACTCTTTGATGTCACAGGATTATAAAATCACATGACTCAACCTTATTCGTTATGAATTTGAGTATGGTGCAAAGAATTCCAAATTGTAAGAGATCTGTGACTTTGTCACGTGAATAGTTGGTGAATCATGAAACCAATTTGTAAATTGCAGTTTAAATATGTAGTTGCCGAAATTTCAAATAACATATGGGTGTGAAAGGGTATTCACAATTGACAATAGAATCATTGAAGAAATTAAGAGATCATTTGGAATATTATGCAGTTGTGGAGATTAAAATCGCAAAAGTTTCTGATAACCCAAGAATGATTTGGTGATTTGTCACAGAATAAGGGATTTGAATATCAGAGATGAAATAATGTTGATAGGGTGGCGGAGTTGGAATCAAAAAATTTCACATTATATAAACCTTTGATATCAGATGCATTTTATAATATTAAAGCAGTTGCGGTTGAGAAACCATTTGGCTCATTTCTGGAAAATTTTAAGAAAAAGCATAGAAACTGTCATAGAAACGAATTGCACATAAACAAACCTATATTGTTTTCAGAATTTCAGAATTTGACGTTAACAAATTATAAGTAATGATATTTTTATTCTTATTGTCATCATATGGCAAATAAAATATAATGTTTTTTAATAGGTAGATTGATTGATTGATTGATTAGTGATTACTGTTAAAAATTTTATTGAATATAAAATAATAAATACCTTAGAAATAATAATACAGATCCACTATAGTGATTCAATAATAATTTTCTAGAATACATTTTTATTTAATTATCATTTATATTATTATTACCGCTGTTATTGTGGGTTGTTAAAAATATTAATGAACAAATGACTCGATTGCTAACTTATCATTTTGTATAGATAAAGAGTCATCATTCCCAAATTATCCAATTCCAAATTATTAATAAACATTAGAATATTGAACTTAACTGAACTAGTATTTATAAAATTATCTCTTATCCTACATTCGATAAATGCTTCTATCATATTAAAACCACTACTTCCATGATAGATGAAATATTTGATTGACGCATGTCCACGTGATATACCTATTAACCAATTAATAGATATGTCGATCGATTCTTCCCTCGGAGAAATTATGCACTTCAAATTCTTAATTTTATTTCTCTATAGTTGCCAATTTTTCTAATTCCATACAATAACAAATATTTACAAACTGATAATTGATTGTCCATTATTATTATTTATTACTATTTTTTCTACAATATTAGTCACATCACCATGAAAGTTCAACTAAAAAGCCAAACTATTAATCCATGGGATTTTACCCCTTAGGGGCATCTTGAAGAATATTGTTTTCTAGTATTTGAAGAATTTAGATGGATTTATGTTAATTATGGATGTTTTTTTGATAATTCATTAATTAACATAATGTCAAACTTTCGGGTCAGTTATTTCTAAAAAAAAATATAAAATGAGGAATCCAGGCGAAATTAAACCATGCCCCATCGATCTGTTCTCTGATTGGATGCATAGCAACTTTTGGTTGAACCAATTTCAGTGAATTGTTTGAAGAACAAGGTCATAACTTGGCAAATCAATTATTTATTTTCTAAAAAAAAATTAAATTCAAGATAAAGAAGACGGGGAGAAATTCCCAAAATTCAAATGTATAACTGTCTTTTGTGAAACTGTTATGTTCACTCTAAATATTATTTATTTATTTAATATTAAAAATAAAATATATTGACAGTTAATAAATATGTATGTATATGTTATATGTATGTATATATATAAAAATAAATGGATATAAACAATGAAAGAATAAAGAAAATAAATCTTTAATTTTATTTATAGTTGTGCGCTTTGCCTATTATTTGTTGATTGGCACTATTAGTAGCATTATTGTAAATAACATTATTTTTTGTGCTGCTGAGATTGACAAGTTGAAGCCGATTGTTTAAATTTATCAGCAACATTTGGACCTGCAACTGCTGTCATAAATTTAAACATTCTACTTTTTAACCAATCTTCCCAATCTGTATCTTCACCATTATCATTACTATTATTATTATTATTATCACCACCATTATTATTATTATTATTATTCAATCCACCTCCAAGATGTCCATTTTTATTGCCATCAACACCATCCCATTGATCAAAGTATTTTTGAAAGAAATTTTCCCAATCATCTCCAAACATTGCTATTCTTTCTCTGACACCATTCTTTACTCTTGCCCAAACTCGTGAAGTATGAAATATTTTACGTGTATCATCATAGAATGTAAGCAAATATGATGTACAAAATACCATCCAAAGAGCCGTTATACAAAATGAATATATCATCATTAATGAAAAAAATTGTATTACTGCTGATGAAAATACAATTTTTGGTGACCAAGGAAGTAATGCATTAAGACTTCCACTATTATCGTTAGGGTTAGCACCATTATTGGTATTTCTACGAATATTACGTTTATTGATACATGTAATATCGATGTTCTTGGTTGATGGTGTAGGTGTGGGTGCGGGTGTGGGTGAAGGTGGAATTGAAGATGAATATGAATATGATGGTGAGTATGAAAAGTAATTTTGTGATTTTAACTTATCATTATTATCCTTATTCTTGTTATTATTATTAAAATTGAATGATGGTTCAGTTGTTGTATCATCATACATTTCATATAAAGAAGGTGACGGTGAATTTGTTCGTGGTGACATCCTTTTGAATTATAAATATCTCTAATAATAAATAAATAAATAAATAAATAAATAAATAAATAAAAAAATTAATTAATTCGTTCATTCAAACCAATTACTTTCTCACCAATTACCTTTTATTGAATTATATGATCGATATTATTTAAATGCTTACTCTTTCGAATTAAATTAAAACCTTTTGAAACTAATTGAATTAATTTCTTTGAGAATAATATTTGTTATTTAAAAAATAAACGAAAAAAAAAAAAAATAAATAATAATTTGGTGATGCAAAACATTATTTTTTTTCTAAAATTTCAGGCGTTTGTGTTTCCAGGGAATTACTAAATTTTGCCAAGATCACAAGGATTTTATGAAATTTTCGCCATTTGACTTATTGTGATGACACTACATTATTCACATGGCATCATCAATTAACCTTCAAATAATCTGTTACACCGATATATCTTATTCAAACCTTGCCACAGCGAATTCATGGTTCCAGCCAAAAAAATCGTTATTATTATTATTATTATTATTATTAATAATAAAAAAAGGGGCCAATATTTAAATCCGTTGTAACGAGAAATCCATTGTGGCGAGTCCGCTGTGACGAAGTTTGACTGTATTTACAATTCCAGGAGAAAGATGATAAAACAATATTAGGTAATTATCATTTTTGTTTATTTGATTAATATTTTTCATCAGATTATGTTGTTTTACCAAGTAGACGAGAATAAATAATTGTATCTTCTTCATCAGAGAAATTGGCATCGGAAGTTCCTGATTTGTCACTATTGTAATTGATTAGATTGCATCATTTAAGAACTAGCTGAATGATGTTCTAAATAAGGGCAAAGAGTTTTTATCAAGATGTTATTATCAATGCCAAGTTTCCCTTATTCTTTTCCACAATTAGTAAGAATTCCCCCTGAATAGACATATTATATTACTAGTAATGTTTATAAATTAATTTATGGTTTGATTTTTCACAAACACCAGAAAGAGGAAAAAAAACATTAATTATTAAGTTTTTTAAAATTAACTTTTTTTATCTTGAACAATATATCAGTGTGTTTTTTTGATGAATTGAGCTATGTGCCTGAAGAAAAAAGAGCTAGATTCATTTTGGTGAATGCAGAAGAAAGCTGTTGCTGCTTATATTGATTCAGTTAGAATAACTATAAATATTTTATTGTTTGGCAATAGATGTTTCGCTAATTATGAACTCCTCATTCTCATCCTATAATACAAGTCTAGAATTTCTCCATTGAATCTTTCTGGCATGCAAACAAACAAACAAACAAACAAACAAACAAAACATTGCAATATTATCATCACTTGGCATTTTTTTACAATCTAACCGACCAGACTAAAAGATACTGCATCTGATGTAATACTTGCTGATTTATTAAGAATGAGCACAGTTTGTTAAAATCAATTGATTTATTTATATTTTGTTCTTAATCATGATTTGAAATCTTTCACGTTTTTTTTTTAATTAATTAAGTACTAGAAATACAAAATACATCAAATTTTATACAAAAATGAACAAGAACATAGGCCATATAATGTTAAAATTTTATGTGTTGTTATTATGTAGCATTTTGCGTAATTAACAAAATACATCATTCACAAACTTTTGTCTGGGTACGGTGCGGGTCACTCTAACACATCAAATTCTTGCAAAATGTTTCAAATTCAAAAAAAAAAGAATTTTTTTTTTATCACTTTCATTACAAAAATGACATTTTTAATTTTTATCACGTGATTTTCCAAAAAATGCATTTATATT